ATCCTTGTCCTCTCCAACTTTTCCTCTGTTCCTTCCAATTAAAAGTTAAAATGTAAAGTTTTTTTCGGGGGGGGGGAAGACTCTTATCTTCTTTGCTAATGTTACTAATGTTACAAAGATGGACAGCACTACTCTGACTGTGACGAAGTCATCGTGTTTTGATTAACAGCCAGGATTCTAAGAAAACTTTCTACCTTCATTTTTATCCTTACCTGTTCTAACAATATTGTCAGCTTTTGGGTTTCCCAGTTTAGCTGCTTGAATCAGATGTGCAGCAGTGACTGTTTCTTCCTTCTTTACTGACATCCCTCCCACTAACAATAAATCCGCTGCGCAAGAGAAAAAAAGGGTGGGAGGGAAGAAGGCAGTAATGATTAAAGAGTGAAAAGTGGTTAGCTGTTTGCAGTAATTCACTAAACAAAATTTTTGAAAAAGTCAGAACATTACCTTTAGGTATAAAATCTGAGGTGGGCTGTTAATGACATAGGTCTTGTCACTGGCGTAACTGAGGGATGGGAAATATGCGGCTCCCCTTATGTTCTTGTACAGCAACCCATAGCAGCCTTAGTTTGCATAGCTAGTGGTGACGGATTTTGGAAGTTACAATCGAACAACATCTGGAGGACCAGAAGGCCCCCCCCCCATCTACCCAAATGGAGTGAAATCTACTGTGTTGTTGCCCTTTGCTTTAAGTTACTATTTGTGTGAAAAATCCCACTGGCTTGCTTGTGAAATAATTTTATCTGCATATATATAGGAAAAAGTTGAATTCGCCCAACCAATTTTAAATTCCAGCTAATTTCCACATGATGTGAAGGTATGATCTTACACAATACAATGGATTAATTCTAACCAGTCAGATACTACTCTGGCCAGTACTCACATCCTTTGCTATTCTTTAGGAGAGAGATTGTCATTCTCTTCCTCATAAAGAGAACTACTTTTGATATCCTGCCTGGTTAGATTTATACCCCATCCATCTAGACCGAAGTTTACTCTGGGCGGCTAACAATAAATGGAATCAAAACAATATAATAAATAAAAACAACAACAATAGTAATGTGGCACAAGATGGGGAAAAGAAAAAAAATTCAAGTTTTTAAAAAGCAAACTGGTATTAGAATTTTAATCAAGTGATTTAAAGTGTTTTCAATTTTATTGTAAATTAATAAGGATTTATTTCAATTCAACTTCAACATCTGTAATTTTATTATGTTTTAATTTTCTGTTGTTTTTAATTCTTTTATAAGCCACCTCGTGTCCCAATTCTGAGAGAAAGGTGGCATCGCAACACATGCGTCTGCTTGCTGATCCCCACATACAGGCTTGCCTAAAATACCGTAGCTATTTTAAAATTATTTTGCCTTCACTACTAGGAGCAAAATTAAATTGGAAGAGACTGCTCTTGAAAAACGTATAATTTCTTCTTTCAAAATAGAGCATTCAGTGGTATATTGACACGGTAGTTATTTAAAATTGGACTGGGAGTATGTAGAAAATGAATGAATGAATGAAAACAGATAGCCAGCACAGCCAGTGACAAGGGATGATGGAAGCTGAAGTCCAACAGTATCTGAAGGACCACCAGGGGTTTTTTTTTTGTTCCTGATTTAAACAAATCTGTTGTAGAAGAGCTTTTCCAGCAGCTTACTTGATAATCATCTAATGTAAATAAATATGAAAGAGCAGGTTCAACAGTGTACATACCATCATGCAATTTCTTAGCTTCTCTCTGTAAGGCAATTCCCGAAGCATACGCTTCTATACATCCATGGCTCCCACACAGGCACTCCGGTCCATCTAGAGCTACCACAATGTGCCCAAGCTCAGCAGCACAAAAAGAACTACCATGGATCAACTCGTTCTGATGAATGATTCCACCACCAATACCTGAAAATAATAGCAAAGGGACATCATGCAAACCTCCCAAAACTGTGTGCAAAATCATAACTTGCAAATGTTCTATCAATCAAAGCCACATAAAACAAAAATGATTTTCTTTTCTTTGCTACTTAATGCACAGAGACCAGCATGCATTTGTTTCCATCTGGGAAGTGTGACAAAATGACACTGTAGGGCCCTATTTCTACAAAAGCCAAGGTAAAGGTTCCCCTTGACATTTAGTCCAGTCACGTCCGACTCTAGGGGGCGGTGCTCATCCCCATTTCCAAGCTATAGAGCCAGCGTTTGTCCGAAGACAGTTTCCGTGGTCATGTGGCCAGCGCGACTAGACACGGAACGCCATTACCTGCCCACTGAGGTGGTCCCTATTTATCTACTCGCATTTTTACATGCTTTCGAACTGCTAGATTGGCAGGAGCTGGGACAAAGGATGGGAGCTCACTCCGTCGCGTGGATTTGATCTTACAACTGTTGGTCTTCTGACCTTGCAGCACAGAGGCTTCTGTGGTTTAATCCGCAGCAGCCCCATGTCCCCTAAAAGCCAAAGGGCACAGTAAAAACTAGCTTTTGGAAATGACAATGCCTGCAATTCCCTATTTCAAAATTGAACATTTTGAATATTTTCTATGGCATCTGATACATTCGTCACTATTTCAAAGTCATTTTCTTCCATTCGTAAGGAAGCAGAACACAGTGACTCTTCAGACAAAAGTACAGATCTAGACATCTGGTATTAAACCCAATAAACCACTATTCCACTATGAGATACAATCTGTCGCCTTCATATCATCCACTTCTGCAAGAATAATGCAGCTTGGAGGCAAAAGGATGGACTTGGAGAGGGACTCCACCACATCCTGCACTATTGAACCTCCTACTATTCCTCAGACAAGTGACCAATGATTTCAGTGGCCTGATTTTCCATTGGATTTTGCTTCTGAGCACAAAAATACCTGTTCCAGTGATGAGGGTTACAAAGTTTTCCACTCCTTTCCCATGCCCAAATTTTCTCTCTGCTAGAGCCGCACAGTTGCCGTCATTGTCCACCCACACTGGTAAATGCAGCGCGTCTGATATTGGCGTCCGTAGATCAACAGAGTTCCACTCCTGAATAAGTTTTGTGGAATGAAGTACAACACCTTCTCGGGGATTTACCCGCCCGCCTGTAGAAATGCCTACGCCCCCAAGGACATGTCAAGAAAGGAAAACGACAACACTCGAATGAGTTAATTTTGACTCGAATTGTAGGAACAAAAGTAACATTTAAACAAGACACTTGTCAGCCTGCCATGCAGAAACAAAACAATCAGCTGCATCTTTCTGAATTTTTGTCAACACACATCAGTTGATCGCCTCAACTCAGGAAAGGACATGTGACGTTTGGTAGCTTACTAATGTATAATTTCTCTTTCATTTTGCTTGCTATAAGGAGATTTCTACAGGATTTTCATTCCATGCCAAGTTTTGTGGATTCATGGTTTGACCCATCCTTCAAATTTCTTGCCTTCAGGCAGTATTTACATGCACACAAAAAATAGAAGAATAAAGGGGAGGTGCGAGACTGGAAGTCTCATGACAGCTGTCTCTTCCCTTTCATTTTAACCCTTAGTACTACAGTTCATAGGCTAAATCCAAATAGTGGAATTATCGGGATGCTGTTTTCCTTCCCAGGGAAGTACTCCATGACACAAAAAAAGTGCTGCAGGGGATTCACCATTCTTCCAAAGCAGTATTTTAGGGTGTATAGGGGCGGCTGTCCATTCGTTGTTTACAGAACACAGGGAAGAGGCTGCCCCCTCATTTCTGGAATAAACTTCCACTTGCCAAAGTACATGATTGCTTACTTTGGATATAATTTTTGCCTAACAGCCTTGAGGAAACATCTACTAGTATCTATGTGTTCAAATGCAAATTCTGTTATGAAGACAAATAGACATGGACTTCTAGAATTGCATATTAACATAGAACAATAATACACTTTGCAACTTATATCCATAAACAGTTGCCCTTAGTTTTGTCCTATTGCCTGCCACTTTAAAAGCCAAGCACTAAAGTGAACCTAAAATACACAGGGCAGTAATGTTTAATGGTTTTAGTGAGGCAGACAAATACTTACCCACACCCAGAATTCTGCAATTCAGATTTACTGCTTCTGAGGCAGCCTCTACACACATCTGAAGGATCAGTTCTATTCTGTCCTCATAGGTTTTGGGGTTGAGCTGTGTGTATTTCTTAACTATTTCACCCTAAATGAGAGGATAACCCATTAAGTTCCTTTTTAAAAGCAGAGATACCTGTGCTGCACATAAAAACAAATTCTAAAATTCATACTGGGACGACACCAGTAGGATGGTGACCAAAATGCCAAAAGAAGGAGGGGGCTGCCAAGAGCTTTGATCTCTTCATTTTAAGAAATAAAAAAAAGCATTGTGGCACTTTAAATGTCTGAGGAAGCAGACTAGTCCACCAAAGCTCACATTAAAACACAGCAGTCAGTCTTTAAGGTGCCACAATGATATTGTCTTCTTTATTTTTCTTTTGGTTTTGCCTGACAGGTTAGCACAGACTAACATGGCTACCTCTTCTAAAACTCTTCTATGGCAGTGCCTGTCATCTGCATTTTTTGTATTTATATTAAATTAACATATATGATTAACATGTACTTTTCATTTTAGAAACATTTAATCCGGATTGGTTTTTAATCTATTACTAATCACACTTCTACAGCAGTCGTGGTTACCATCCCAGGCAGGGCAACTTTTATTCTGTTGAAGAATCCTCATGACTTTTTTTTTTCCAGTTTTGCTACTACCGCTGGATATCAGTATTAATCCAGGAGGTACCCGAATGTGAGATCTTCATTCTGTCCTGTAACAATGCTTGAATAGTAGCTGAAGCTAATTCAGCAGGATTTCTAATCATGCTGGCCAAAGTCCTATTGCGTTGTTCTGCATGCGGAAGGCAAAAGACATAATATTCAGTTCCTTCTGGCTGGCAATTAACGTCTCCCCACCGAGATGCTCGAGTGCATGTCAAGTCAGCCTACGCCCCCCCCCCCCGGATACCAGCAGCAACTCGCTTACTGCAAGCTAGACAGGACAGGAGATTACGCTGTTTGCCTTCTGCATGTGTAACAAAGCAACAGGATTTCAGCCACTGTTTTAAAACAAAAGTGCACAATCCTTTCTGGTTTACACGGACGTTGGAGTATTGTTCTGTTTGTATGTTTTATTTCACACAGAAGTGGGGACTGTGGGTCAGTAGCTGTTTACTGGAATGGATCGTTGGAAGTTTCTTTCTCTCTTCCACCTCAGAACTACAACATTGTGATAGTGGGGATTCTATTCACCTGTCAGGGGTCAGGTTAGGTCACACCTACATGCCAACATCTTCAAAGACTTGCCATAGGTTCAAGTAAAGGAATTTGCATGTATACTGTACATATATTTTATGTGTAATGTGGCTCACCTGTCTATTTACATCTGGCAGTGTAAACCACCCTTGCACCCATCTCAAAGAGACACCCACCTCTTGCAGGACAATTTTATGTTTACCTTCATGCTGACAATTGCTACCCGAAGGTTTGTTCCACCAAGATCCACCGCTAGCGCACTTTGGGTTTCTAGGATATGGTCAATGTCTTGGGAAATGTTTTCCTTTACAGGAGGAAAGCAGAACTTCTTCTGCAGGGGCTCTTGGAGGTCGATGGACTTAAGGAACTTTAAGATTCTTGGAACAGCACTCCCATCTCCGTATATTTTTGAACTGTAGCACCCGAGGGAAGCAACAGCAACATGGAAAACAACAAGAACACAGCTTACAATCCAAGCTAATACAGGAAAGAGCACAAGAAGGATAACGAGAATAAACATTATTGGATCAGAAAGTATATCATGTCTTTGTTAGGCGCTTTCAATAACTAAAATTTCCGCACATGCAGTAAATGTGTATTTGGAATGCTGGATAAAATGCCATCAAAATTAAGTATTTTAAAACCTGATATATTTCTAATGAAATGGCAAGATTTAAGGAAACGTAAAATAAGCAAATTTATATACTATGTAAAAAAACCTGCATGGCAACTTATCTAAGCAGTTATCTATTCACTAGTAGTTTTTCACCCATTTGGCAATCAAATCAAATCAAATCAAATCAAATCTGCAGAAGCCATTGAGGTATTTTTGGTGCCTCCTTCTCCTGTATTATTTTGAAGCAATCCTTGTTTTCAATTTATGGGAATTGTTTCTAGGGTTTTCTACATACAGAGTATTCAGAAGTGGTTTACCATTCCCTTCTTCTGGGGGCACCTGGGACTGTGCAGGAAGTCCAAGGTACAAAGGCTGGTGGTTCTCCTCACTGGAGATCTTTTGGCTCCACAAGCTGATACCTAACTCATTGACCTACCCAGCCAGTCATAATACATATTATTTCTACTGATGCTTACATGAATTACACTCTACCAAAGAAAGACTGTGATTCTATATATACTCACACTGCCATTAAATTCAGTGGGATCTACTTCCAAATGAGCATCTATCAGACCTGGCTATAGGAGAGACATATGATAAGCCTTTAGGCTAAATCTAAGTGAAATGACACACAAGAAGAGAAGTAGTGGGCAACTTCCAAAATCTTAGGGAAGTTAAATTAAAAGATTTGGGGTGTACAGTATTTGTTAGATTTCTATCCAACAGCTAAAAATCCCTCAGACTTTAAAAACACGAGCATAAGAATCTGTTCCGCCTAAGCGTTCCATGTATTGATGAAATAACTCAAGTTAATTGTCAGCCTGAACTGGATGGATGGGGAGGATTTACTTATTTATTTTCTTACTTGCTTGCTTATTTGACTTCTATACCACCCATCTGGCTACAAGGCCACTCTGGACAGTTTATACGCAATAATATATTTACACAGAGCATTCAAGAATTCAAAGTGTGGAAAGTATGTTATTTTGGTAATCCTGAAAAGTCATTTAAAAAGTATTACATTCCTCATATTGGAAACAGAAGCTATGATTGAGATAAAGTAGCTTGATATCCATCAGCCGGCGAAGCAGGCCTTGGGATGAAGTCACACAAAATCTTCCTAAGCATTATCTTGATGAATCAACAGCCATCTTGTAATAACTGGATCATAGATCAAGTCAAGATTAATGGCTGAATTTGCACAGCAGAATAAGAAGCCCACTTTATCATTGCAGATGGTGGAGTTGTCCTGTGTTTTAACAGTATTCAGGGGTCTCCTCCTCTGGCCTTCTACATCTGGGATTTCTGAAAGCTAAAGGCACTATTAGGAAACAGATCTGGGATTCAGTCCTCCAGTTCAGCAGAGTGTGGGTTCCGCACTACTCACAGCAAGATCAGAAGAAGGTCTTTATCCCGGAAGATTATCTTTGTAATTTAGAACTCATTGGACATCAGAGAGCTATTACCCTGGCCCATTTCAATGCTGTGCCATCAGCCTTCAATGCTGTGCCATATGCATCTTTCCTTTAAAAAGATGTGTATGTACCCCTTAAGACTAACATTTTTGCCCTTACCAATCTGGCATGGTAGCAACTGTGGAAGACATCCTTTTATATTGGGCATCTGATAAGAATTTCCACCGTCAACTCATTTCACCTTATTTTAAAACATTATCCAGGTAGATCCAACAAATTTCATTTTTCTCTCCTACCCTCTGACTCCTCAAGTGAAATCACAACCAAGGTCACAACATTTTGTGTAGCGACATATACAACATGGAAAGAGATTACCAAATCACTGCATAAACTGGATTAGGAATTAATATTCAAATGTAACCTAAATTTCAGTTTGCTTTAATTCCACTGTAAATACTATATATTCTGGTGTTGTATTTTATTCTTGCGTATTTAACATGGCTGACCTGTGGTTGTAATAATACAGTTAAAGTGAAAAGTTAAAGTACTCAAGGGTCTGCTGGCATTCAGGTCCTAAAGTGCTCAAAGATCATACATATTAAGCTTTGTATCTTCAGGAAAATTTGGTTAGCATTCTTCTCCCACTATCACCACTGGAAGGCTAACACTAGGAGATATAGTCAGATCATCACAGAAAAGACATTCACCAACTGCCATTTATTATCTAGGCCAGAGCGTGTTCTACCCTGTTCTGACTAACACTTGATTACCAATTAACAACTGTTTTGTTATCGTGCCAAAGATGCATTTTTTGTCTGTTAGAAAATAATTATAATTCTATTCTTAAATTGTATAATTATTCTATTCTAAAATTATTATACTATTTATTATGGATTTTTCTATTACAAATATATTTTTATTACTACTGCAATATAACGGGTAAGATACGTTGCTGGCACATTCCAGTTGTCTTCTGTTGCAGGCATTTATTTATTTAACTTTATTTGTGAATCGCCATGAGCAGAAAGTACACAGAAAAACAGTCTGCCTCTGAAGGGGCAACAACTGTAGTGCCTTATCTGAAGCTACCATACTTGGGGAGGAGGTCTGAACTGCACAATTTCCAGCTCTCCGCTCATTCTCATAGCTACTATACTCTGTTAGCTTAGTTCACAGCAGCTCTTCCCGATACCTACAAATCAGAACACTGTACTGTTGGGTTGAAGTTAGGCGGAAAGATTACAAGCAACCACAGCGTTATCTTAGATCAGTGCTGGCAAACCTATGGCACATGCGCCACAGCTGTCACACAGAGCCCTCTCTGTGGGCACATGAACCATAAGTTGCCCTAGAGAAATACTTAAACATCCTCTGATCCTGGATTTCGGCACTCCCCTCTGCTCATGCAGTGATCCAACAGAAGGGTACAACGGCAACCATTACCGGTATAGCCCAATGGGGGATTGGAAGACTGGTAAGTATTTCTTTGTTAATACCACTCATGGGGGGAAAAACACAAGCATTTAGCCCTTGCAGTGCAGGACCAGTTGTTTTTTTTCTAAACTAAAACCTCAGCATTTGGGTTTTAATTGCTGTATTGGCACTTTGAAAGAAATAAGTTGACTTTGTGTTGCAGTTTGGGCACTTGAGCTCATAATGCATTCCCTTTCATGATTAAACTTACCAAGGATACTGTTTCCCAAACTGCAGTTGCAGGGCTTGCAGTATTTTGTCCTGAGTGTCAGCATCACGAACATGAAGGACATTTTCACCTTAAAGTTAATAATAATAATAACAACAATTAAAATGATATAAGATAAAACTCCATTTGAAAGAGAAGAAATGAAGAGTATTTGCTTTTGAATGGCCAACAATACATTCCCAGCAATAAATGGTTAATTTGGATTGCTGAATCAGCACACGTTTTCAAGTAATGCTGCAATGATGAACTGGACTGCAGGTAAACATGTCGGCATAGTGATTTGAAATAAGTATGCAGTTGTTTTACGGTATGTGTATCTCACTTTGAAAGCCCTATTAGGGTCTACAGTATGTGTATCTCACTTTGAAAGCCTTATTAGGGTTGCTAATTATTGTATTTTAAATGCTGTAAGCCGCCCAGACACCTTCGGGTATCTTCTTCTTGCAGATGTTACATTTGCTGATGATTTTTCCCCCTGGCCTCTGACAAAATACACATGCATGTATGTAGCAGCTCACTGTGTATATTTCAACTAATTATTAATTATAGAACTGAATCTGTACAGGTTATACATATTCTATGAAATCATTGTGAGAGCAAGATTGCCCTTCAGCCTATCTTGTGTTTGCTAGCTGGGGGTTGCAAAAGAGAACATAGAGTGAATCTTAGTAATATGACAATAAAATGTTATTCCTTTCAAAAATGGAGAATAACAAACACACATGGTATATGTATAAAGTGGGTCTCACTGAATAAGAAAACAGTTCCTCTTTTATAGCTCTAAGTGGAAAATTCTAAAGTACAAACTGACCATAAGCAGGATGCATAACTACTGAAAAGCAACTACAACAAGGATAACTTTCTTTGTTAAGATGTTTAGATTATGTGATCAGGAAGTGTTTTAACTATTATAACACCTCTGTTGGATCTGACCCAGTGAATATAAACTTTCTGGATCCACTCTGATGCCCATTTATGGACACTTCCATGTTCTCTCTCTTCCCCCTCACCACGGCAAAATCTGTTGCCTACTGAAATGGGATTTTAAAAATACAGAATACTACACAGCAGAAAGGAACGAACACAGCGAACAGGATTCCTCCTCATTTTTCTCCACTTTCCAACTATTCTCTATCCTCCAAATATGTACACATACAAACACGTACTTCTCTGCTCTATAATTAGCTACAGCCTCAGTGTCTCGCGGACCGTGTGTGGCCCTTGGGCCACACTTTGCCCAGGTCTGCCTTAAGTAGACAGATTTAGTCCTCAAAATCCATGATAACATGAGACCTAAAAGGGAGGTTATTTATTTATTTAACGTATTTCATTTGTATGCCACCTTTCTCCCAATTAAGGGAACCAAGGTGGTCCACAAGTTATTAAAAAAAACACAATCTAACAAAATTTACAAACAAATTATTTAAAAAGCAATTAAACATGTAGCAGTATTAAAACAATTTGCTGAAATTATTTTCCCCAAAAAACCCTTAAACACATTAAAACACATCTAAATAAAAACGTTGTAAAGCACATAGGATCAGAAATTGCGCAATTTGCTAAAAGTATGTCTACACAAGATTAACTTCACCTGTCACTAGAATGATAAAAGGGGAGAGGGGACAACCTAGCCTCCTGCATTAGGGTGTCCCACAACTTGGGAGCAGCCACAGAGAAGGCCCTCCCTCGCGTTCCCACTGGAAGCTCCTGTGAAGGTGATGGGACTAAAGATTTTAAAGGTTGAGAAGACGCATACAGGGATATACAATCTTTCGGTCAGCCTGGAACCAAACCGTGTAGGGCTATACAGGTCATAGCCAGTTTTATGAACTGGGTCCAGAAACTGACCAGCAGCCAGTGAAGCTCTTGTAACAAGGAGCTGTATGCTCCCTGTAACCAACTGAGGTCAGCAGCTTGGCTGCACCATTTTGAACCAGCTTAAGTTTCTGAACCATCTTCAAATGCAGCCCCATGTAGTGTACATTGCAGCAATCCAAGGGTGTGTGCGTGTGTGTGTGCGTGTGTGTGTGTGTGTGTGTGTGTGTGTGTGTGTGTGTAACCAAGGCATGCATCAATGTAGCCAAATCAGGCATCTCCAATGCAGCTGGTGCACCAGCTTTAGCTGTGCAAATGCACTCCTCCGGGCCACCACCGAGACCTGAGAATCCAGGCTCAGGGATGAGTCCAGAATGACACCCAAGCTGTGGACCTGAGTTGTCAAGAGGAGTGTAACCTCATCCAGTGCAGGTTGAATCCCTATTTCCTGATGGACTTTCGGTTGACCACGAGCAACTCTCTCTTGTCTGGATTAAGTTTCAATCTGTTTGCCCTCATTCAGTCCACTACTGACACTGGTTTAGAACAGGAACAGCTTCCTTGGAGCTAGGAAGAGATAGAGTTGGGTGTCATACTGGTAACACCGAACTCCAAAACTCCAAACAACTCCTCCCAATGATTTCATGTACATGTTAAATAGCATGAGGGATAAAACAGACCCCTGAGGATCACCACAGGCCAGTGGCCAGGGCATTGAACATGAGCTCCCCAGCAATTCTTCTTTCCAGGAAGGACCAGACTCACTGTACAACTGTGCCTCCAGAGACATGGGCCAGAAAGATACCATGAATGATGGTTTCAAAAGCTGCTGAGATACATTCCCCCACCAAGTTCCCAGTTTAGGTCATCCACCAAGTGACCAAAGCTGTCTCTGTCCCATGTCTAAGTCTGAAGCCAGATTCAAATGGATCTAGACAACCCACTGCATCCAGAAACCCTTAGAGCTGAGAAACTGTTTGTTTTCTTTCCCCCTTGGCTCTGGAAATTAGGAATGAAAGGAATTTTTTTGTATGAAAACTGCATTCTCTTATTGCCTCTCTCCACCACTATCTTCTTACATCACTTCCAACACAGATGATGGGTCCAAAGAGACGAAATTAGATTTAGGGGATGTGACCCTAACGGCCAATTCACCCTCACCTTTGGGCCCTGTGTGGAAGAGAAGCAAAAAACCTTCTGTGCTGCCACATGTCAGCTGAGGGCTTGCCCTTGCTTAATGCGCTTTGCTAGCAGGGTTCTATGGCGTTGGGGCATAGAGGTGCCTATGTAACACAGGTACCTGGATTCATCTGTCTCTATTTGTGTTCAAGAAAAATTGGAAAAAACAAGGTTTTCAGCAGGAATCACACAGCCGATAGATTATGCTCTGTACCAGACTAAAAGTCTAAAAATCAAGAATGCGCACAAAACTTTAGCTTGTAGCAGAGATATTTTAATTTAGCTCACAAGTAATTATTACTATGCCAGCTCTAGAACCAAACCAGCAGACTATTCTTGATAAAGTAAGGTGAAGGTGAGTGGGTGATTTGCCAGATAAGTGGAGAAGATGCTGAGGAAATGATTGAGATGGTCTTTGGATACCAAAGCACAATGGGGAAAACTTCAAGTTTCAACAGTTCCAGGGAGTGAAACACACTCTGAGTAGTCAACGGAACTCAAGGAGAGATGATTACTTTATCCCTGGAAATGTGAGGTTAGCTTCACTTGGGATGCTGTCATGGAGAATTGACAGCATCCCTAGTGAAGGCTGGAAACCGAGAGCAAAGTAATAGAGCATCTGTTCAAGTGGAGATCCTGTGAAGGACACTCCTCAATATAGGCATAAAGCACAAAGGATGCAAGGACAC